TATGAATCGCTATTTCCATTATAAAGAGAATACTTCGGTTGTTAAATCATGTCATCTACAAAGTTGACACTGGTGCATGGCTATGTCCACAACGGGCTTATGATTTCGAATGTATGCATAAACTATGTCTGCATTTCAAATAGTTTCTTCAAGGTGGCCATTTTTCTGGATATAAGTACATCGTATATCGCCCTCAAAACCTGTCCTGAAACTAAACAGTGGCTGAAAGTAAACGAAGGAGTGCCAATTAGCGACTGTTACAAGTTAGAGTAATTGCAGTCATATGGGAAAACATGTTTAGACAATAAGTGTAGCACACATCGGGCAGAGAATTGTCAGGAAGTTTTCGATGGCAATTGAACAACCGGACTTAAGGAGAATCTTTAAACTAACATGTCCAACGCGGGTGTTTAAGATGCTGCAGCTTGGGAACTCAAATTGTCAAATATTAGAGGTTAAAAGAATCAGTCTCATTATTGCTGAAGTCTGAGAACTTGAGAACAGAAACAAAAATGGGTGAGTAAGGCACTTTTAAGGTTGTTGTCCCATATAGGTGACTGATATGATGTAATAATTTGTGTCACTTGAGTTAATTAAGTGTCATCAGCGTTACTTGTTTTACTGACTTTTGAACAAGTTACAAAAGTGGGACAAGCTTCCAAGCAGTGCGCATGCATAATAGCGTGCGGTGCTGGGGAGTAAAAAGTGGACTTTATCTTTTCTCTAATGCTCCTGCATATTATAAAATTAGCACAGCAAATTAGGTAATAATAAATGTAATTACAAAGCATATTTTTTTGGCTAGCCAGTACTTTCACGAGAATTTCATAATGATATAATTCCCAAAAAGAAATAATAACTCCTTTCGAAAACTTGCGCAATGCGCGTTTATATTGACTTCAACAGACGGAACTTCCCATGGTGTTCTTATCTTGAATGTATTCAGTTATACACACAGCTTTTTGTTGACAAACTCGACGCATTATATTACATGTAAATGCTCGCGGTTTCATGATTAAGGTTTTCAGTATTCCTAAGAGGTTTCGTCAGTTTCCTTGTTGTGGTGATTCAATGGACTGTAGGCGGTGTACCAATTTTGCCGGTCGCTTTTGCGTCGACGCAAGCGAGCAACATTCCACGAAGTTAATTACCCTCGACCACCGGTTGCTTTGTTTGCATGTAGGTCCAAATATCGGCTTTCTATTCGGTGTGTCATAGCATTCAAGATTTTGTGCTAATCTAGAGAACAAAAACAACCCTATTCAATTAGCTGCTGAAATCACTCCAAACGCCGTTGCATTCAGACTATTCGTGATGAGCAGCTCCGCTGAGGTAAGTTGAGTCGGAAAAGAAATGATTAGTGAGCAATTACCTGCCGGCAAAGTAGGCTGTTAAAAGGGTCAACGATTTGTATTAGCAGAATTTATGCGTTTATACTTTTAGTGGTGTCGATAATTTGCTCAAGGTCCGTCGTTTTTCAGTGTTGGCGATTTAAGTATAATCGAAAACACCAAGGTCCTTTCTTTATCGTCTAGAATTTATGTTTATCGAGCTGAGTTTATATGCTTTTCAGAAATGTTCGCTTTATTTCCGAATGTCAGAGTAACTGTTCGTGTATGTTCCGGTTTGCGAACAGAAATATAAAAACATGCGCTTCAAGTGTTCAGTATTTGTCGGTGTTGTAACAGGGTTTTTTGCTTCTTTTACTTCAATTTAAAACCATCCTTTTTACCTCACACTTCATTACAATACTTCGACCATAACTTGTCTAAGTCAAACCACTGTCGAAGAAATTTAAAAACTCTCCAGTATGCCAAAAACCGACAAATGAATACGTCCACCTGCGGAAATTCCTTGACGTTTGGCTGAAGTACTCTTTACGAAATTTAAACAAATAAGCATGTCTCTCTCAAGAGTCTTGGTTATACCCCATTCGCTTGTAAATTGACGGGCAGATAGAAGATATAACGGAGGTTCTCACTGGCTGGTTCAACTGGAGCAAAATTTCTTCTTACGGCCTTCGTGTATATTTTGGTAGCTACATTCATCAGTAAACAGGCGTAAGTTATCCGGTTTTAGGCGATTAGCGTTCGACAATTATTTTTATTCGTAAATCGCTTGGTAATTTTGCATCGAAAACCATTTCTTGATTCAGTGTTATTACTCGATATTGCGATGTATATTCAACCACCGCAACACTTTCGTCATTGTCTAATGGTGAAGAAAACTGACATGCAGTGATCTACTCAGGTATTTGGTTTAATTAGTATAATTGAGTTGTTCAAACTTCTCAGTTCTTTCTGACGCCAATTCAGAAAATGCACTTTTCGCTGATCTCTTTTCTATATTCTACAAGACAGCTTTTTTGTGCGCCTAGTTTATGAGCTTTTCCATCCAATAAAAGGAAATAAACCAAAAAAAAGAGAAAACAAAACAAGAATTAAAAACAATCTCCAATTAAATGCGAGTTCATTGCCTTTGTGATTCCTACACAGGTGGCTTTTGTTGGTTTCATTTGTAGTAATAACCATTTGACACTCCCTTAAGGAGAGGAGTTAAATGACAACTCCAGAGTATAATTCTAATATTGTATGGCAAACGTATACTAAACCGCACCACTCGGACTTGCGCGCGGGAAAAATTGTTACGAGAGCAAAAGCCGTAGTTATGTCAGGAATTTTGTGTTTACGAGTTTAAAATCTTTTAAGCGTGACAGCCGGAAGCTATTATGTCGTACAATGTGGTTCAAAAAAGATCCTTGAGTTGTGATAGCTGATGTCTTGTACTTTCCTGTGGTGTGGTTTAATTTCTGTACAAGGTGGTCATAACTTTGGGTCTGTGGATCAAAACGTTAAGTGTGGCCACTCAAAATGAAAGCTACGGAATGTTACCTTTCCTTAGTTCCGTTTATTATCCTGTACAAGGAAGTTTTTTTCTTTTGATTGTGTGGATGAAATTGTAATTGCGAGCTTTGAAATCGTATAAGGTCTTCCTTATACTGCTATTTACATGCTATAGAAAACGATTCTAACTATTTAGTCGGTTAAGTGTGCGGATTTTTCATACAAAACTTATTGATAGCATTCAACATTTAGACACTATTCGTCTCTCTCCTCTATATCCATACAATCGTTGGTCAACAAAATTGTCTCGCCAAGTACTGTTACATGTAAGATATGATCTAACTCAGAAACGTCTTGTTCTTGGACCACTGCTGTTGTTGATGCTGCGATTTGCGAGACCGGCGGTTAAAGAGACTCAGAGGCCGCTCTGATTAGGTCTCGTTCTGAAACTATCTAGTATCAAGCTTCCACTTTTAAAACTTACGATATGCTTGTCGATTCTTGAAGAAGGCTAAGTGGAAGTTAAAGTCATTCTTCCTGATTCAGCGCAAGCCGTCAGATCCAATGACGTCGTCGTTTTCAAATATCTGTTTTCTTCCGTCCACACGACCAAAGGAAACTGACGTTTTTCAAAATGTCACCTGTTGAGGGTGTAACTCAAAACTTGCGTTTTCGGTTACCGCGTCGGATATGTTTGGATGGAAGGTTGATCCGAAAAAGAAAATGCCGTTTTTTAAAAAAATTAACTTGAATACAACAAATACGCGTGAACGCTAAGGAAGATCTTCCGCTGGCGATGTCGCTAGTGTAGTTTCATTTCACATCACCCTTGCCCATAATGTTTAAAATTATTTCATTTATCTTATTTAAAATTGTCCTGGATACTGAGAAGAGTTACAGTTTTAAGCCGAATCAGCCTTAGCGAGAGTTTTTTTAGAGAAAAAAGTTAACCCCTCTTTCCGAGCTAACAGCTCAAGCGCATGCTCTAAATTTCTCACCTTGACCGAGTTGACTCGGCTGGGCGAGCCAAAGTCTTTATAGGGAGAAAAGTTGGCCCGGCAGGAGGGTGACCTTACCATCTCTAGCCGAGCCAACTTTTTGTTTCTCATGTAAACGGTTTGCCACGTTCTGTAAGGAAATGTATGAAATGTAGGCTTGCCCAGGGTAGCTCGGGTAGGCGGGTGACGTCGAGGTCTACCCGGTGTAGCTCTTCTCTGTATTAATGGGGCCTACTTTTGTACAGTCAAATTATACACTGTAAATCAGAAAGATCTGTTTTAGCCCTAAAAATGAGGCCTTTTCGGTGAGTAAAATACAGTCCTATTTTTGAGTCTAATTTGGCTCCCTTAAATCAGGGCCAATACAGTCCAATTACCTAGGGCTGATTTGGACCGAAGGGCTGAATGGGCTGGAATAGCCTTTTGATGGGTCTTTTGTGGCTTAAATTGTGCCCAAATGGTTCCAGAAGGGGTTGAATCAGACTTTGGCCTACAGGGCTGAATTGACACTTTAGAGCTGAAACAGATCGTTTTAATTTTCAGTTTATACACCCTGGAAACATACCGAGAAATAGTCAGTATTGTAGATAGAACTGGAAATAGTTCTCACTATATCCGCCCCTGACTTTTGAAGATCATAATCTTTGTATTTTGTGATGAAGCTTATAATCACAACTACAGATGAATTTTATTTGTACCTTACATTCACCAAAGATGGTAATGAATTGAACTCAACGGTATAATTAAAAGTGTAATCAGTAATAGACTGTGTGCACGTGCGTGCAGCAACAAAATAGTTCTACACAGCTGGTGTTGGGTAATTTTGGCATTGTTTGACTACAGAAAATTTGCGATTCAGGGGTGAGTATCTCTCATTGCAGTCAGACTTCTTTAAATACAATAGGCCACTCATTCAACAGTTCCTGGGTAAAACTTTTTAGAACAGGGAAGCCGAACAGCAGAGATAAAGAAGCGATTCAAAAATCTGCTACAAACCAACAGATCAGAAACTCAGGTCAAAAAGAGAAAATAAAAGAAAGTCAAAAGGATCTGATAAGCCTGAAAAGGTTAACGCAAATAAGTTATTAGCCGCTACTTCCTTAATGTATTGTTTGTTTTAGGAATTTTTTTTGTTGTATTTTGTTTGGTTTTTCTTTAAGGGCTCAGTGAGTTAGAAGACTTACAAGAACGCTACAGTCGTCTAGAGCATCTTTACAGCGAGGCAGTGAAAGAAAGAGACGAAGCGATCGAAGAAAGAAACAAAGCCACTGTCCTTATTGCACTTCAGTTACAAACTGAAACACAAGAACTTAACGAACAGATTAATTCTTTGCAGAACGAGAAGCAGAAACTAATCGAGGAGAACGAAGATTTGAAAATTCGACTGGGTTATGCGAAAGATGATTTAAACAAGTTGCAACAAAAACATATCAAGCTACAGATTGAACAAGAACAGTGCTTACAAGAAAAAGAAGATGCCTTAGCTTTGCTGAAGGAGTTGGAAACCCAGAAAGAAACTTTGAAGCGCGAAAGCAACCAAGAAGAGAACAAACAAGACGAAGACAAAATGGCGAACCAAGAAATGGTAAGTGAACAATACAATAGGCGAATTTACAGCATTCGGGCACCGCATGAGATGGTCGAAAATTATGAAAGGGTGACTTCTTTCTTTCTTTCTTTCTTTCTTTCTTTCTCTCTTTCTTTCTTTCTCTTTCCTTCTTTCTTTCTTTCTTTCTCCCTTCCTTTTTATTTTTTTGAATAACCAATTTGAAAAAAATTTTCCTCACTAAACCTGCCTCGTGGTAATATAGGTTTTTTTTCCTCTGATATTACTGTACACAAAATGGAATTTGGTGTTTTCTTCTTTCTACTCGTTTCTAAAACATGCTTTCAGCTTAAACGGGACATTTTGATTCATTCATCATTCTCATAACATCATGAACAATGTTTATACGCAAATGTAACCACCTTCCTCTCTCCAGGGCTTCCAGCCTGGTTGGGGGGGGGGGGGGGGGGGGGGGGAGGGGGGGGCCCCCCTTAAAAAGGGGCGGGGGTTGTTCGCCGCGTCGTCTGGGGGTTGAATTTCCAGTTTTGGGGGTTATTTATGGTTTTTGGTTTGATAGGGGGTAAGAACGCCCAATTGAAGAATCGTTGAGGACGTTTTAAAATATTTTTACAAAAATGCGCTCAATTCATCTTTTTTTATTCATTTCAATTTTAACAAGCACCAGAAACAATCTTGTACCGAGAGAGCACCCCCGTGCCGCCCCGGGGGGGGGCGGGGGGGGGGGGGGGGGGGGGGGGGGGGGGGGGGGGGGGACTCCCATATAACAGTGACGGGGATGCTCGTCGTCTCGCTTTGGGGTGTAAATTGCAGATTTTGGCGTCATTTATGGTGTTTGGTATGGAAAGGCGCTACAAAGGCCCATTCAGCTATCGCTTAGTACTGTGTACAATGAATTTACAAAAATGCCCTGACACAGACCACACAGAAATCTCCCTTAGGGGCCTGAGTTAGGGGCCATTTTAAGCTTGAGCCACACCCAAATTAGTCTCTCTTAGGGGTTTAATTTGAATTTCCCGACGAGCACCCCTGTCACTTTTATATGGGAGTCCCCTTCCCCTGAGGTTTCCCGTCCCTGGTATTTTCTAAGGGAAAAGCCCTGCGGATGAGGCTGACGCAGTTGAACGAGACAAATTTCAATAATTTAATATATTTACAGTTAAGCTAAATGAATCGCACTACAAGAGATGTGTTCAGGTTGACCCCCTACTTGGATGATAAATAGACACTGTCAAGGCACGTATTAAACATCGTTGCCATTTCTGATAATGCGAAAAAAAATTGAAGTGAAATAGAAAGAGAGACAGAAAAAGGAAAAAGAATGGGCAAACACATCGCTCTATAATGGTCTCATAGTGAAACTACATGGAAATAATAATGTTGCAAACCAGAAAATTATGTTTTTGTTTTCCCTGAAAAACTCAACAGTTTCCCTCAGTGCTCCCTAAAAAATATTTCAAGATATCCCTTGTTTTCTATAGCTAAAAGGTCATTTTCCCTTCATTCTCAAAAGCTCTGAGACTCGTTTCAGTGACTATGTATACGCGACAGATGTATTAATTGAGCTTTGGACTCTAGTATTGTTGTCAGGGGCACCCAACGAGAATATAGTTCAAAACCACTTAAACATAGCATTGTTAAACGTATTTTAGTATTTAAACGGTAGATATAGGCATATTTTTATCCCCTAAAAATTTTTCATCTGTTCGGATTTCCTAGCTGAAAGTCTAGTGATCCGAAAATAATAGGGATCAAAACTTACTTTTTAGAAAATTTCAGCCAGAAAAAAGGCTCCCGAAAATTCTAGGTGACCTTTTTAGGGTGAAAAATCCGTTAAAAATGGGCAATTATACCATTTTTTACATGTTCGAAAATCCTAGGAGAGGCAGGCAAGCAAGAAATTTTACAACAAATGTTTCGAAAATTCTAGATCTCAAATCGTCTTCCGAACGGATATNGTTAAACGTATTTTAGTATTTAAACGGTAGATATAGGCATATTTTTATCCCCTAAAAATTTTTCATCTGTTCGGATTTCCTAGCTGAAAGTCTAGTGATCCGAAAATAATAGGGATCAAAACTTACTTTTTAGAAAATTTCAGCCAGAAAAAAGGCTCCCGAAAATTCTAGGTGACCTTTTTAGGGTGAAAAATCCGTTAAAAATGGGCAATTATACCATTTTTTACATGTTCGAAAATCCTAGGAGAGGCAGGCAAGCAAGAAATTTTACAACAAATGTTTCGAAAATTCTAGATCTCAAATCGTCTTCCGAACGGATATTCTTCCGAAAATTGTCGTTGGGTGCCGCTATTGTTGTTTTATACAGACAAAGTAACTCGCACATTAGAGCCTACAGACCTTATGCCTTTAGTATTTAAGATGCGTCCAACTAAGTTTAAACTAAATATTGGTACTGGTTAACAGTATTGTTACTACACAACCCATACCTATTGGGGAAAAGACGGGTCGTTAAAAACTGCTTAGTAGCAGCAAGAAGCTCGGCTGTACCGCTCTGTTTCTTTTGGTTGTGCGAGTTAATGATTGCCTAAATGCACCTCGAGGTTATACGACTTTTTTTAAAAAACCTAAACGTAGTGTCTAGAACTGAAACAGGAAGTTCATTCCAGCCTATTGTTGTTTTCAATGACATTTTTGAGGTTTCTGTGGGAAAAGGCTGCATGGGCAACAGAAGTTACACCACCCAGCACGGAATTCGAATGCCCTTGCTTATGCGTAGACATTTAGTACTTGTTTTTTGAGCTTTTTTTGCCAGCTTATTACTTTTATTGATAGCCAGTCTGAAATTTAATTTTGGTTAATTAAGTTTTAATAGCATAATCCAAAAAAACAAAAAAACATATCAATTCACAGCTTTGAAGGTGTAATAAACATTATTCACCCTGACATGAATAATTCTGTTTCGGGCTGGTGCGTGCTTTTGTTTTTCACGACAATCTTACATTCCGCTCTGATTCCTTATTGTGTAAATTATCCACTGGGGCATACAGTCTTTAAGTGTTATATAAAGCCATTCAACCGACTCTTTATGAATTAATCAGATCGATTTCGCTTCATGAGAAAAACATGCGGTCCAACATAGTTAAGTTGAATCGCCAGAAAGCTTCTTAAATTGCTTTATTTTCCATGATGTTGTGCGCTTCAGAAAGTGTATCTGTCAGCACCATGTTCGCGAAGATTTTGTTCTTAGCACTGGTGAATTGAAGATGGATAGGCTAATAGAACATTTGAATACGATCTTCGAGGTTAGTGTCTGTCTTACACAGAGTTTACTCATAAAATTGGCCAGCAACAGGTTCGTTATTAATTTGCCCAGTCGCTATGAGCAAAGTAAGCTAACATTGCCAAGTGACTATAAGCCGTAAAACTCACATTCTGGCGAAAGTTTCACAACTTCGGAAGGTTAAATGACTCACGAAATTTGTTCAAAAAGATATCTTCAATTTACGCCTTTTTAGGAGGTGAGATCGCAAAAATTGTAAAGCTTGTAATTAGGATCAGGATGTGCCAAGGCCACTTTTGAAAACGGTTATCTCTGCTCTTCAATATTGATTTGCGGCCTACAGTAAGGCGTAATTGTTATTTAGGATTTTCAAATTTAATAACGAGGGTCACCAAGCTTATTGTTTCAGCACTAGAATCGTGATGTAATTCATAAAATGCGAGTGTCCTCGAGTTATTGAGCACGGAAGAAAATTTGACTACTCGCAAAAGTTTGCTTAAGAATTTCTGAAGACCGGTTTTTTCTCTCGACGTTCTAGTCAGATATGAAAATTTCAATCAAAAGAACGTATAAGGTTTATTAAAGTATGTTAGCTAACTATTTAACCTTGCCGAACTTAATCATACCATATTTACAATCAACTTAGCTTTGTTTTCATTCACTATTGTTCTAATAAAAGTCGTGAGAAAGTTTAGAAACTTATCTGTTGTCAGAATTGCTGACAAATAGTATATGAATTACACTAAAATGATGGCTAACGAATTCGCTTTTATCCCCCATGAAGACGGCAGACTAAAGTAAAAATACAGCGGCTACAATTTTAGTCATATTTATTTAATATAATCTTCTTTATTTACTGATGACCTTTTTTTTAATGGGAGGCATATTTAATTCTCGCAAGGAGTGCGTAGTTTTGTGCTGGTAGCCGTTGAACTTGAATTGACTGTTCTTTGTAAGTTAAACGTTATCTCGTGACCAATAAAATGATAACAACTGACTAGTGTAGCTAATCTTTATCCCACTGTTAACAACTTCTACTTTGAAAAGTGTTTCAAAATTTGCATTGCCAAAGAAAGACTTGTAAACGGTTTTAACATTATTAACCTGTGTCTTGCGGTTCTTTATTTTTTAGGATCCTGCATATAACAATGTTAGGGACGAGATTTTCGCGTCAGGTGAGCAGTGATTTTATTGATTGAGTCACCAAAGACACTGTGAGCGGTCTAATGTACTACTGAGCAGAACTAGATGTTTATATTACACGCCTCATTTGACATGTGTAGAAGACAAAGATGATTTTTTTATGTGGACACAGTTAATGAATGAAGGTCTAATATGTCTATTTTAAAGATCATATCTTATTTATATTGTCACTGACAAACATTTCCGGCATCCTTCAAACTAACCATATATCACCCGCGTTTCCTTCGCGTAATCCTTGTTCCTCTCGCGCCCGCGCGCGCATGCCTCGCGCAATAGAGTCCTAGTCCCCGGGGAAGAGGGGGAGGGGGGTACTCCAAAAAGTTTTATACAGGGAGGCTCTGCCCCCAGATCCGGCCCCTTGCCCTTTCACAGTATACTTCAACAAGTGGAAACCTACCCTCTCATATATCTGAAGCCTAAAAAAGCTACCCCTTTCAGGCGGAGCCTCCCCCTATAGGCCTTTATAGAGAGTATCCCCCCCGTCCTGGTCTTTTTTTAAGTACCTTCTACGCAAGCACGATGCAGGCTATTCATCGAATTGTTTTGCCTTTCCTGAGAACAAAAAGAATCTTTTATCTTTTATCTTTTCACCGGTGAAGATATCACGTTTTCACTCGAAGGCTCACCTGGTATTTCATTCG